TCTCTCTGATGGTCTCTTTACTGATGGAGATCATACAGAGGATCAGGACTAAACTGAGACTAGTTCAAGACCAGTTAAAAGCTCCTTCCAAGTAAATGTACGTAGTTTTATTCCACCATTGTTGGTATAGATTTATTTGAAGTCCAAGCTAGCTGTTTCCCACCTCTTCCAGTCTTTATGCTAAGCTAGGCTAACTACACACACAGACTCCAGCTCTGTTCTGAACGACAACTTCTCTCATTTTTTTTAAACTATTCCTTTGAGAGAGAGAGAGGGAGAGGGAGAGGGAGAGGCATCACTGAGGACATTTGTCCCTCGTCCGTGGCCGCTCTGCAGGTGTCCTCCCCTCAGACACTGGGCTCTTTCTGCTCCGTCCAGCATCACCATGCATCACATCAGCCCAGTGCGCTCACCGCCTTACTCATCACTACACACACTACATCACCAGTCTGTCCGAGCAGCGGCGGACGGATAGCGTGAGTCCAGGGACTTCATGGAGGGACGGGAATGCGGTCATACGACTCGAACCAGAGGGTTAAAGTACAGTGGACAGTTTAGCTTTGTGTCTGCGCATAAATGAGACGTATTGATGCTCAATGGAACATTTTGTGGACGGTCACCAATGATCACAGAGGGTTTGGAGGGTGAATCAATGAGCTGCCTGGTGCTGCTGTAACCTGATTGTACAGAAGACACCGCTGGGTCGGAGCCAGACCTCGTTTCTCCGTCTGATTTCATCCAACATTACAGATCTGGTTTATTACAACTCAGACGATCAGACGGGTTGTAAACAAAAACACCTGGCTGACTGGAGCCATCCCATAACCCATAAGCACATTTATTTCAGTGCAGTTTTAGGGTACTTGTACTCTACTTGAGTATTTCCATGTTATGCTACTTTATACTTCCAACGCATCTCGGAGGGATATATTGACTTTTTTACACCACAGCATTTGTTTTGAAGATTAAAGTTACTTTAGAGATTTACATTATTGATACAAAACACAAATCAAGTAATAAATCATGGTGTATTATTGTAGGTTAACCTGCCCAGCAGTATATAAGTAGTTAGATTGAGCTCCACATTTACCGTCGGCAACATCAAAGTGATGAACACATTAATGCATCAATAATCAGTAATATAATACAGGTGCATATATGAATGTGAAAATGCACATTTCAGCACTTTACGTTTATTTTGATGCCAATACTTTTGTACTTGCGATCGGTTTCGATTGCAGGACTTTTATGTAGCGTTGTATTCGCTCGGGGAAACTCCGCTTCGTCAATGTACGACCACTAAAAGTGCTCGTTTTTGCCACCGATTGTTATCATAAGTGTCTGTTGTCATTATGGAGAGAACCCTGCAGGGCAGTGAAACGTTTGTCTGTACCTTTTGCTTTCTGTTTGTTGTTGCGTCATGTGACATGTTGCCTGAAGACAATGATGGACACATGAGTGAGAGTTGGAGAGAGGAGGGCGAGTCTTGTCAGAGTTGGTTGTGTTTGAGAACAGAAAGCGTATCTTAGTGTTGTCTAAAAGATTTTCAATGTCATGGCTTTTTTGCTCCTCCGTAGGGTTCTTTCCATAATGTTGTCACACACGTATAATAACATTCTGAGCCGGTCATCGGCAGAAACGAGCACTGTTAGTGGACGTACATTGACGGTGAGTTTCCCCGAGCTGTTGCATTACAGCTCGTTTAGAGGCTGCCGTCTAAAACACTGTTCTCTCAAATAGTCACCCAGACACAAAAACATGGGAGAATGGGTTCCAGGTGGATAAATACCAAAGTTACACTTTAAGTAAAATATCTGAATACTTCTGAATAAGATAAGATAGACTGTATTTATCCAGAGGGTTACAGTGCAAAGTAGGAAAGAGTGCAAATACAATATTATCAATAAGGTGCAAAGACCAAATGTACACAATGCCAGAAATGTAAACGGATTAAGGATAAGGTGCAAATTCAAAATGTTTACAGCAATCATGTAAGAATATCGTGTGTTTTTATATCTTAAAAGTAACTACAAGTGTTAAATATCTGCAGAGGAGTATAAAGTACAATATTTACCTCTAAGATGTGGTAGAGTATAAAGTACCAGAATATTGGGGGGGGGGGGGTGTAGTTATTATTCATAATGTTCATTTTATTCATCGTGTTCAGCACCTGCAAAAACATTTATGAAATTAAATCTTCAAACTCCAATTAAATGTTGAAATTGTTTAAATCTGATTCTGAAAGTAACTCTGCAGGTTGACTCTAAAACGTACACACACACACACACACACAGAGGTTTTCATTTCCTGCCCCCCTCCCCCCCCCCTACGTAGCCTAATTTTCCATCATAAACTCCCCTCGTTTCTCTTTGTCCTGGTTCACTGATCCCCGGGGGTATCCCAGGATTCCTTGAGGCCATGAGGACTCAGAGAGATGAGGGGGGGGGGGGGGGTTCAGTTCAGTCTTTAAAACGGTGACATGAACCCGCTGCTTGTTCACAATCTTTTTGTGTGACGCTGAACATTCACCACAGCTGTATCAGGTTCTGCATTTCTGTCTAGGACCAAATGAAGCCGTCTCTCAGTTCTTGATGAGTCACGATCCGTCCACCAAGTGAACTCTCTAAATCCCAACCGGGGCCTTGAGTTGTGGCTGAGCTCTTATTGTAGCTCCCTGCGCTGCGTTGGACCCTGATCACTCGACATAAGTAGAGCGCTGCAGCCGCACATTTGCTTCTAATTTCACTCTTCTTTTTTTTTTTTTTGATGATCACACATGTTGCTGTATCGACGAGCTCGTCAGAGTTCAGAGACTAATAAAACCTATTAAATACATTTTTAAAGTACATGTTAATGACGCGTTACACTGTTCTCGTCTTTCACTTGATTGTGACGATAAAGCATGGACTTGATTTGTCCGATTTTTGTGTTTTATTGCAGAATTCAGTATAATGGAAATGAGCATTTTGTAGACTCAGGATGTGACGTTATTTTAAACCTCAGAAGTATTTTGCAGTCGATCTTCCTGTTTCTCTAAATTGCTTTTTGCTGTAGTTGGTCTAGTATCACAGTGCTGTCATTCGACTCCGTTGTTGACAGGCAGTTTGTTTTCTGGATGAGATGAACAGGAGGATTCTGTCATCTGGACTGTTTTGCAGAGTGTGATGTGACACACACAAGCCTTTGTTTGACAGTGTTCAAGTGCACACTTCTCTCTTTTGTCCACACTCTGGTCGACTCAGAGGTTTTCCCATCTCAGCACTGGGGCTACAACTTATTTGTTGTTGTTCATTAATCTGCCAATTGCTTTCTCGATTTAATAGATTCATTATTTCACTGTATCGGTAAATGCAGTGAGTGAAAGGAGAACCAGGACTGAGTGTAGTAGACTGTCAGACCCTGAGATGTTTCCTAAAGGGACTCTGGTGCTCGGAAACGCGACCACTTTCATCCACAGGGGCCGCCAAAACCAACACAAAATAAAACTACCGTTAACTATGTCGTGATTAGCTTTTTCTTGTATTTGGACACATTTCGCTGTCAATTATTGAGCGACTACAGCGGAATAAGTGTCCCACCCCTGTGTGCACACACAGCGGGCGAAGCATTATCTATCCAAGATCAATGTAAGAATTGTCGTAAAATGCTCTTGATAAAGGTTCAGTAGCGCTGAAACATAAATATATTGTTTGTCAAGACTCAAGTTAGCAAAAACTAGAAATCTCATTTGTATTGCTCACCAGCTGTGATAACGTGTGGTTTGTGATCTGTGCTCTCCATACAGGTAACTCCACGACTGTAAAGTTGGCATGCTACATCCTGATTGGAGTCGGGGCTTTCTCCATGCTCATGGGCTTCCTCGGCTGCTTGGGGGCCATTTATGAGATCCGCTGTCTGCTCGGCCTGGTGAGTGACCGTTTGTTTGTCTGAACACACGTCGGTAACGTTTGGCCTGATCATTTAAACATGATGATGAATAATGCAGCTGTGGTACAAGTGGAGGATTTACTGTGGAAATATAATAGATTATTCTCACCTCTGAAAAAGCATACTGTGCATATGTTAGTAGATGCACTCATTGTTGGTTTGTTGAGATCTTTACCCTTAACTTACTGGTTACTGATTCACCACAGATGTTTGCAGGTCTGACCAGCCTAACATCTGTCTCCTCTCTCCTCAGTACTTCACCTGCCTCGTGCTGATCCTCATCGCTCAGGTCGCAGCCGGCACGCTTATCTACTTCCAGAAGGATGTGGTGAGTGATGTCACTTCCTCCTCATTAGTTAGTCTCACATGGAGGGCGAACGCTGTGAGGTGATTCTCACAAAAGGAATGTGTTGCAACACACCTGTAAACTACGCACCTTATCTTCCGATCGGTTGGGTTCACACCCACGATGTGTCACAAAAGGCAGAGCTATGTGCTGCGACATGAAAACAACGAGCTCTGAATGGAAACTAATTTTAAAAAAACTCTCATAACTGAGAGCGCAGCGTTCAGTGTTGTGTCGCCCTCTGGTGTTTTAGACGTTTTACAGATAAACAGGAAGAGGAACAGAAAGAAAAAATTATATATTAATCTTGTGAAGGTTTTTTCAATGTGGGGTTTTCTGCATGTTGGCTTCAACTATCAAACCTAACCTTTAATAGGTTTAATAGTAAGCTTTAGATTGTGTTAGATAAGCATTTTCTATCTACTGTTATTTGTCTGCCTGTAAAAGTCTCCATTTCAGCTTCAGATATGGATGACATTTTCTTTTTTCCATTTGAAAAGGTTTACTAATGCTGTATAACAAATAGATATCATATGCAGCTATTTATTGGAGTCTTTACAGCCTCTTCCTCCTCTAAAGGGAATGAGACACAACCAAACTTTGAGGCACTTGAAGTGTCTGTAACGACACAGAAGGACGAGTTACAACCGAGCATCGTGGCTCATTTTGCTGAAAAGAACAACTAAGATCTACTAAATGATTCATGAGCAAGTGAACTGTGTCCTGTTGGCCCCTCCGGATGAGTAAATGTCTTATTTTTACTTTAAGTACAATGTTACTTTGCAGCAGCCCTTTAATACCAAGAGCAGTTTCTGCACACTTGTATCTGCCCACTGTTCATATAGACACATAAAGCTATATTTGAGCTGGACGCTCCAGTGATTAACTACGATGCAAAACATCTGCGTGTCCCTGAGACACGACTTTATGCAACGTTCATGTCACATGAGTTACTGTAATTACCGGTTATGTCAACATGCAAATTGTAATTAAGACTGAAAGCTTTGAAAATAAACCACACAAAACTACAAACACAAGTCGGCACGAGGCAAAGCAAAGGCAGTTTTAATAACAGCATTAACATCTAAAAACAATAAGCAATACAAAAACAGAGTTAAAACCTTTAAGATAGAATAGTTATAAAATATAATCTTTCAAATAAGATAAAATGAAATATGACAAATGAAATAATAATAAGTTGTACGTTGTCCCAAATGCTTTAAAGGAAATAAAAATGCAGTAAAGAATCCAGGCACAGGAGAACAGAGCATTTAATTCAGATTTTAAATATAAATATCATATAATACGCATCTGTCTCTCTCTTCTGTCTTTATTAATACTGTCGACTTTAAACAAAAGTTTAAAAAAGAATCTTTAAAAATATATAAACATTATTATTCGACTGTGATAATTGTTGAAGTTCTAGTTGATCAACGAACTGTTTCAGCCATGTAGTCTTTTTATATGAATGAACTACAAATATGGAGTTCAAGGCCTTAACAAATTGGGGGCGTTTTTCTTCGTGTGATTTATTTGCACATCAGTATTTTTTTTTTATATTGTTCTTTATGTCATGAATACTTTCACGCAGAAGCAAAATATTATGCTGCAAAAAAGCAATGTTGTTTATTTCTGGAACCAGAAAAGCTTTCGCTCAGCGAATAAAGGCGGAAAAGTTGCTCGAAAGAAATCCAGCAAATCTATTAGACTTTCTTTGTTGAAGAAGTGTTGCAGCCAATATGAATAGTTTTGATGGAAAATGTTTGTTTTTATTCATCGTACCCTCGGTGTGTAAAGGAGCACATTTACAAGATTTCTTACAATTGCAGTAAATGAAGAAAACGATGAAAAACGTTAATTTCTTTCCGACCAAATCAGAACTTTTACCTCAACTTTCAAAAACATGGCAGAACCTGTAAAACTCCACCTGGACTGTAGTTTGAATGACGAGACTTTGTCGAGCTTGAATGTGAGCTCTCACACACAATCCCACAAACATAAAATAATTATGTGCACTTTTATGATTTGCACAAGCACAGGACTGCAAGAAAACGGAGGTTTGAGTTTGTCCTCGTTGATCCAGATGTCCAGAAGCATAAATCATCTGAAACGCTACAAAAAGGAGGAATTCTGTTCTGCAGAGTGCAGACGCATCTGTTTATTGTATCTGAGCGTTTGTTGGAAGCTCTTGCACTTCTATTCAGCCACCAAGCTTCTCTGCCAAATAGTGGTTCAAGGAAAAACCTCTATTTGGAGAAAATAGGAGTTTTCCAGTATGTAGACCTTGAGTGTCAACGTTCTTGGAGAAAAGATTCAGCAACAATTACACTCAGATTTCCCGCGTCTGTCAATCGACTCCTGATTGTAATGCTTCTGCATATCGTACGAATATGATTTCACAGATCTTAATGCCAAATTCTTCTACACAAGAATTCACAGCTCATGTTTAGTTGACGAAACAAACTCTAGAGAACGAGAGTGTGTTTAGACTTATCAAGACCTCCAGCAGGTTCAGACAGGATTCCTTTTTCAACTACTAGATGCTCCTTTTATAAAACCAGCTGCACGCATCCAGCTGTTCACAAGAAAGGAAAAGAAAGACACAAATTCTCTCCAATATGGATCATAGGCATGAAGAAACTACAAACAGCATATAAAGCGCATGTCTTCACTTCTGCGTGAGCTCCAGCTGACTTTTGCTGAATCTGTATTTCGCATCATAAGACGTATTATTTATGAACAACACAAATCTGTTTCCTCTCAGTTAAACGAAGAGATGGCCAAGATCGTCATCAAGGTGCTGGACGGTTACCGCGGCAACAACTCGACCACGGAGCAGGCCTGGGACTTCATCCAGAGGAATGTGAGTTGGAAGAACTGATCTGTGGTCAGATTCATACTCTTTTGGTCAGTTTGGTCCAAAACAAACATTTTTTAAATATAATCACAGATAAATAGAAACATGACACACACCTCACGCTGAAGTGTTCCTGTCACTGAACACTTTGCTTTACACAAACTTATCCTCCTATTAAAGGATTTATGCATGAAAACGAACCAATATCACCCGAGAGGGAGCGCTGTCGTACGAACTAACAAATAACTTAGTGCCTCATTTATACTGCAGCCAAAATATTAAAGACAACAAGCGCTGCCAAAGGCTGCTTCCACTGCAGACAGCCTCTGATCTTGTTTTATTATCTTTTTGTCTCGCTCTCTGTGTCTCTGTCTGTCTCTCTCTCCGTCTGTCTGTCTGTCTGTCTGTCT